ATTATGTATAAAATAAAAATTATTTTTAATACAATTGTTTTATATATATTATTTTATATAACTTATTTTAGACAATAGATTATGTTTATGCAAATGTAGTTATATTTTGTTTGTTATTTGCAATTTTTCTATATATTAAAATTTTATTCAATAAAATTATACAATATTTTGTATAATAATTATATTGTTTATTACAACAACAAAAATGTCAAAACAATATTATAAACAGTTTATTATTATACTAGACTTAATAATAAAAGAGATAATTAATAAAAATATTTTTCAATTTAAATTTATTAATATTCATTCAATTAAAAATATATTAAATAATTTACTATAACTATACAAACTGTATTATTATTATTATTATTATTATTATTATTACTGTTATAAATCAAATTTTAAATAGAGATAAATTTTATGAATTTTATACAAAAATTTTTGTTTATTTTTGGTTCAAATTTATATTTAATTATTTGGATTAACGCTTTCATTAACATTATTAGGAAAATATTTTTATTAATTAATATTATTATATTTATATATATATATATATATATATAATATTTGATAATAACTTAATATCTATAGTAAAGTCACAAAAATTTTTGAATTATTAATTAAATATTTTTAGATTTCTCCAAAACTTAACATTACTTTATTTGAATTAATTTTAAGTATATCTATTAAAAATATTTTAATAAATAAAATATGAATACAAATAATAAATTTTTTAACTACTTTTATATTATTTTTTCAATAGTATTATAATATAATAATAATAATTTAATAAATATTGAATTAAAAATTATTAATATTTAAATGACTATTTTATTTACTTATTTAAAACATTTTTATAAAAAAAATTATTATGAGAAATAAAATTTATAAAATAAATATTTACAAACTATAAATAAATATATTATAATTTTTGTGGTAATTTAAAAAAACATTGTCAAATATTTGTTTTATTTTTACATTAAAACATAATTAATTTATTAAATATAGAATTTATACGAAAAAAATGTGTAACAAAACTAAAATTATATTTTTATAAATGTTTTTCCGAAAAATAATATCTAATAAATTAAATTATTTATAAGTTATTTAA